CACAATTATTTCTACTCACTAGTCTGGCACGAAACAGTCTATCGCCTCTGGGTGTTAACTTCAATGTCCACTTATATATATATATATATATATATATATATATATATATATATATATATATATATAATAAACAGAGCATTTACTTAAATATTTGTATCTATAAAAAGAATGTGTAAACATAAAAATGTCTTAAAATAATTGTCGGACTTTGTCCATTTCATAATGTGTGACGTCATTTGTTTATATTTGATACGCCATGAGCAGATATGAATGCACGTGAGAGATTCATGGAAGATTGAAGTTCAAATACAAAAAATTCGACCTTGCTAACCGAACGCTCCTCTGTGGCCAAATCGGTAAAGGCACGTCAAGCTAAATGACGGTTCCGTATAGGATACAGGTTCGAATCCTGTCGGAGGACGAATATTTTCTGTGAAAATTTCTCGGTTATTCAGGCCGGTAAATGTTGTTTAATACTGTTTATTATAAACAGAGCATTTACTTAAATATTTGTATCTATAAAAAGGATGTCTAAACATAAAAATGTCTTAAAATAATTATCGGACTTTTTCCATATCATAATGTGTGACGTCATTTGTTTACATTTGATACGCCATGAGCAGATATGAATTTACGTGAGAGATTCATGGAAGATTGAAGTTCAAATATATATATATATATATATGTGAAAATAGGAAAGAACTGGTTAGGTAAATAATCCAAAAGTTCCTTAGTATTTTATTATTTTTAAAAAATAGTGCTCGATACAAAAGTAGAGCATATATATATATATATATATATATATATATATATATATATATATATATATATATACCATTAAAACTTACATTTTACTTGCAATTTTTTTTTTGTCAAATGGTCGGTGACCTAGCCGGCTTCCTTACTCCTCTTCATAAAATGCTCGTAGTTTAGTTATGTAGAATGAGAAATAAGATATATGAACGGGCAAAAGTAGACTCGTTGCATCAACGGCCTGCAAATTATAGGTGGTGTCTCAATACAATCACGTTGGAGAAACTGAAAACCACTCAACGATGAATCCTGAGAAAATTCATAGCTATACATCAAATTAATGCAAGAGAAACAAACATTGTTTAGCGCTACGAAGAATGTGAATTTGTGTCGCACTATCACCGCCTAATTCCTGAAGGGACACGGTACATCAAAGAGAGAAGCTGAACACCTGAAGATGATTCTTCTTTCGCTTGTGATTATAGAAAAGAAACATTAAAGAAACCGATGGATTAAAAGGAAGATTCTGTATTTTAATACCTTTATATTATTTATATAAATGGTGCGATGAATAAATTGTCGTCTAAATTGCGCAAAAATGAAAATAACGTTGACATTTGATTTTAACAGATATATTTACCAAAATCATGCAAAAAATATCTTGAAATACTAAAGAGTAAATTTATTCAATAAATTCACTTCAACCACAGCCTCTAGACGACCTTCGAATCACCTGCAATTCTTCTAGACGGTTTCCTTGTTTAAGTTGGTGAATGCTACCACAATCCTTGACTTCAGTTCATCTTTAGTCTCACAAAGAGTTTTGTGCGCCCCACACATAATAATCAAATGGGTTGCAATCTGAAGAGTTATGCGGTCAGATGTAAGGTGTGATGTGGCCGAAGAAATTGTCTGAGAGTTATGAATGACTTTTCCTGCTTGTAAGTTGCCAGACATAGTGTCTTCCAACAGTCATCCTCTTGAGCCAAACAGCACTAGCTCCTCAAGGCACTTGATGTATGTCTCCGTGTTGATTCTGAAGCCCTGTTGGAAGATGAATGGAGACATAAGTGATCACTCCAAACACCTTTGTAATTAGCATTACACTCATCCAATACTTTCCGAATCCTCTGCACTGTCCCTAGATTGGCACCCAAACACAATGAAATGTTCGTACTGGAGCTTGTGTGCACTCGACAAAATCAAAAACAAACAACGCGCATGCGCGAAATTAGAATATAAACTGGCGACAATTTACCAATCGCATCCTATATTCAATATGTATCTTTTCGAAATGAATTAAAAGTTAATTCATTATATATAAATTTAGTTGGGTATGTGTATGCATACAATTATTATGTAAACTGAGAACAATAATCGAGATTTTAACATGGGCTTTATCAGCAGCCCAACTTTGAATTGTATATGGCACAAGATTAAAGTACTAATCCCCCGACTGCATGGTCCTAAAGGCACGGTACTTCTCCATTTTGAATGCCTCAGGCACCAGAGATTAATTTTAATGCCATGGGGGAGGTACTTCTTTGGCTTTACGGGGGTTACTGATACGACATACTTTACGGGGCTTACTGATGCGACATACTTTACGGCTGGTTACTGATGCGGCATACTTTACGGGGGTTACTGATACGACATACTTTACGGGGGTTACTGATACGACATACTTTACGGGGTTACTGATACGACATACTTTAGGGGGCTTACTGATACGACATACTTTACGGGGTTACTGATACGACATACTTTAGGGGGCTTACTGATGCGACATACTTTACGGCTGGTTACTGATACGACATACTTTAGGGGGCTTACTGATACGACATACTTTACGGCTGGTTACTGATACGACATACTTTACGGGGCTTACTGATGCGACATACTTTACGGCTGGTTACTGATGCGGCATACTTTACGGGGGTTACTGATACGACATACTTTACGGGGTTACTGATACGACATACTTTAAGGGGTTTCTGATACGACATACTTTACGGGGTTACTGATACGACATACTTTACGGGGTTACTGATACGACATACTTTAGGGGGCTTACTGATACGACATACTTTACGGGGGCTTACTGGTGCAACATACTTCAGGACTGCCTTAGTCGTTGGATCTTGTTTTCTTTATTCATCTTTATTTCTTTTACTTTCTTCCTTAATTTCTTTCTAATCCGGATTTATCTCTTTTTCTACTCCTCCTTCCCCGAATAATCGACAAAAACTACAAACATTTTAACTTTTACTTCCACTGTGATAGTTTTGCCTGTGGCGAAACTTTAACGAATAATACGGCATCAGAAATAATAATAATTGTTGAAACTTGACTAATGCCTGGAATAATAATACAACACAAAATGTACTTAGAACAAAATGTATTGAAACAAGAAAGTGTACACAATATTTGCATCTAGTCTTTTGTATATTCTTGGGAAGACCGTTCCTGGAGAATGTGTTGACTTAGTCGCAGTCGGGCAGAGTCTCTGGATTGAATCTCTTGATTCCTTCCTCGTCTTTCCGGTACCAACCATATTTATATGGTCGGTACTCCACTATGCAAATTAGGTGGATCCTACCACAACAACAACAACAACAACAACAACAACAACAACAATAATAATAATAATAATAATAATAATAATAATATCAAATTCAAGGACCTTGAAATCGAAATCTCAAAAATGTGGTACATGAGGACATTGACAATTCCAGTCGTAGTTAGAGCCCTCGGATTGATTGGAAAAGATTCTAATAGAATTATTGAAGGAATCCCTGGTAGCCCATGCCTTAAAGAAATACAAAAAATTGTACTCACAAGTACAGCCTACACCTTACGAAGGGCTTTATCTATGTAAAATATGGGCTATATTTTTGTTCAAAACTGCACAGTGGAAAATGCCATTTCTGACCTTGGATCTCTGGTCAGAAGCTGAAAAGAAATGAATAGACACCAGAAACCAAAAGAAATAAAACAACAACAACAACAACAACAACAATAACAATAATAATAATAATAATAATAATAATATGGCAAGATAAGTCGCTCTTCCCGTGCCAAACAAGCTGATGTAGACAAACTCCGTAGCCACCGGTGGTTACGTAGTGCAGACTAAAAACTGCAACCGAAGGTTTTATCCTTGCTGCACAGGACAAATAATTGGTAACTAGAAATTACCAAGCACACATACTGAAAAATGTTGTTCATCCGAAATGCAGATTCTGTGATATCCAGAAACAATTGAGAATCTTGTATCAAGTTGCACGGTTTTAGCACCCACTGAATATAAAACTCGACATGGTAGAACGGAACGATATCTGTAAAGGAAAATATGCAACTAATCTCAAAATAATATTAAGGTCAAGCTTCAGAGGCCCGGTGGGGGGGGTCATCTCTCCAGGCAGTACCTTTCCTTCAAGAGGCAGTTGTGGTCATTACCCGGTTTGTGAGAAATCCCCAAAATAGGAAATGACGAAGGAGTGCTTGAGAAATTTTTCCACGGTACTGCCGTTAAACCCACTATAGACCACGATCTTGTCTCACATCCGGGTACCGACATGGGCGCGCTGAAAAATCAGCCATCATGATAGGTGAAAGTTTAGTTCCTCAACAAGTTTCAAAATATATATATTTGCACAAACACATGCATTCAGATGTAATCTAAAGTATAAACAAACACACTGATTTTGATCCGAAATTTGACATTTTTCTCATTAGCATTTGATAAATCATTGTTTATAAATATTGCATATATATGTTACTTATTAACTTCATTTTTAGAGAGTGGTTTTGTGACATGACATAATTGTATATACCGCATTTCCTTCAAACAAACTGACAACTGCTCGAATAAGCCCCAGTGGGTCATCCCTCCAGGCAGTACCTCTCCTTCGAGAGGCAGCTGGGGTCATTACCTGGCTCATGAAGAGTCCCAAAAGGAGGAATTGCCGAGGAGGCTTAAGCAATTTGTTGCCGTTAAGCCCACTTTAGACTCGATCTTGTATCACATTCGGTAGCCACAAATTTATTTTGTAGCTTTTTTAAAAAAACTATTGTTGAATATGAAGTTGATGTGATCAAAATATTACCGATTGAATTCCAAACAGAAATTGACTCAGATTCACAATTAAAGATTCACGAATTATAACGTTTCTTTTCCCTTGTCAAATTGTACAGATTTACAAGATTTTCGTTACCGGTTTTTTGTACCTTTGTTTCCTGCTCAGTTTGTTTTTTTCTGTTTCTCTTCATAATTATGCCTATATGTCTGTCTCTCTTTTTACAGACGTCTTATATGCCCGTCTCTCCTTTTACCAACGTTTATATGTCCGTCTCTCCTTTTACCAACGTTTATATGACTGTTACAATTGTTACTTCTATGTTTGTCTAGCTTTTTACTTCCGACTATATATGTCGCTCTTTTCATTTAAACCTACATGTCAGTCTCTCCTTTTTTTGTTACGCCTATACGTCTGTCTCTCCTTTTACTTGGACCTATATGTCCGTCTCTCTTTTTATTTACGCAAATAAGTCAATCTTTCTTTTCTCATGTGCCTGTATGTCTGGTTTTGCTTTTACTAACGTCTATATACCTGTCTTTCCTTTTACTAGCGGTTATATGTCCGTCTTTCGTTTTTACCCATGCCTGTCACACGTTTTACTTACTCTTACGTCATTTACTTTTCATATACGCCTGTATGTCGGTCTCTCTTTTTATTTACGCCTGTGTTTGTCTCTCTTTTCAGTTACGCAAATATGCATGTCTCTCTTTTCATTTATTCCTATATGCTTGTCTCTCTTTTCATTTAAGCCTATATACCTGTCTCTCTTTTCATTTACACTTATATGCCTGTTTCTCTTCATTTACGCCTATATGTCTGTCTCTCTTTTCATTCAAACCTATATGCCTGTCTCTCTTTGCAGTTACGTCTATATGTCTGTCTCTCTTGATTTACACTTATATGTCTGCCTCTCTTCATTTACGCCTATATGTCGTTTTTTTTTCTTTTACGTCTTTATGTCTGTCTCTCTTTTCATTTACACCTATATGTCTGTCTCTCTTCATTTACGCCTATATGTCTGTCTCTCTTTTCATTTACGCCTGTATGACTGTCTCTCTTTTCATTTACGCATATACGTCTGTCTCTGTTTTCATTCAAACCAATATGCCGGTCTCTCTTTTCAGTTCCGCCTATATGCCTATCTCGATTCTTACTAACGCCTCTATGCCTGTCTCTCTTTTCATTTACACCTATATGACTGTCTCTCTTCATTTACGCCTAGATGTCTGTTTTTTTTTCTTTTACGTCTTTATGTCTGTCTCTCTTTTCATTTAAGCCTACATGTCTGTCTTTCTTTTCATTCAAACCTATATGCCTGTCTCTCTTCTTTTACGTTTATATGTCTGTCCCTCTTTTCATTTATGCTTTTCTCTTTTTCATTTTTCGCCTATATGCCTGTCTCTATTTATACTTACGCCTGTATGTCTTTCTCTTCTTTTTCCGATAACCTCTTTTTCTCTTCCCTATCTATCTGTTCATCTTCTGACACATTCAGCCGATACGACTTTGGTGACTGAAACATCAAACAACGGTAGGTTACTAAAACATAGTCCTGCTGTAGTGGCTTATAGAGTCATTTTTTTTTATATCTTCCCTGTTTTTTCCCTCTTTGTTAGTCATTTTTATTTGTTTAATTCTATTTATTTTTCCATTTTGAAAGTTAAGATGAACTGCGCATGTCTGTAACAGATTTCATTGTTAACAAAGAAAGTGGAAGAAAAGGCCTGTTTTGTGTTTTCAATTGTAGGCCTACTTTAGTTGCCTATAGAAGAAAAAACGTCATATACATTTCTTTTATTGTTCTTTGCTTGTCATTTTCTTCTCTTTTTTCGACTTATTGTTTGAAAATTAAGATCAACTGCGCATGTCTGTAACAGCTTTTTTTGTCAATGCAGAAAGTGGAAAATAAAATTCTCGAATTATCTGATACATCAATTATTAACAACACAGACTAAATATGTGAAAAAAAGACAAACAAAATGAAAAGTGAAACTCCGAAATTGTCAACGGGAACTTTTTTTAAAATAGCTTTTAGTTTAACATTAGTGGAAATAAAATGGACGCTTCTTTTAATCGTGATTTCAATAGTTTTACCTCTTATTTTCTATTCGCCTGATAAGTCTGTCTTCAATCTAGACGTAATTATGAATAATTAATAATATGCCATTAAATAATATAAACCATTTAAAATAAGCAGATTAATACGCAGTTATAAGTCATTTAATATATGTCATTTAATTTAAATAGGATATAATCAATACGCAATTATAAATTATTTAATAAGTCATTTAATATATGTTATTTAATATAAACAGAATATAAGGAATATGCAATTAAGTCATTTAATATATGTCATTTGGTATAAACAATATATAATAAATACGCAATATCATTTAATATAAATATAATATAATCAATACGCAATTTTAAGTCCTTTAATGTCATTTAGTATATGCCATTTAACATATGTCATTTAATATAAATAAAATATAAGGAATACGCAATTATAAGGTATTAAATAAGTCATTTAATATATGCCATTTAATATAAACAATATATAATATTATATGATAAATACGCAATTATAATAAAACATTATAAGTTATTTAATATATGTCATTTAATATAAACAGAATATAAGGAATATACAATTATGTCATTTAATAAGCCATTTAATGTCATTTAGTATAAACAATATATAATAAATACGCAATGTCATTTAATATAAATATAATATAATCAATACGCAATTTTAAGTTTTTTTAATGTGTCATTTAGTAAGTCATTTAATATATGTCATTTAATATAAACAATATATAAAGTTATGTGATAAATACGCAGTTATAATATAACATAATATAAGTCATTTAATATATGTCATTTAATAGATGAGTCATTGAATATAAGCAGAATATAATGTATATAGAATTATGAGACAATATAAATGGAACATAATCTATACACTATTATAAGTTATATCATCTATTACTTATAGTATTAATGACTTATTAATGATATAAGTCATTAATAATATTGTAAATAGAATATAATCAATACGCAATAAGTCAATTAATAATTATATTATATATGACTTATTAATGATATATTATATCATATGTTATTAATGACTTATTAATGATATAAGTCATTAATACTATGTCATTAATCTAGATATCATATCATAAGTTATTAAAAAATGTAATATAATCTACAACGCAATTATAAGTCATCCTACAGTTTGCTATGATTTTTTAATAATTCTTTGGCTTATGGCCACACGACGTTGAAACGCTCGTTTCTGTACGATCACCGATGTTAAGAAACGTCGAACCTGTTCAGTACCTAGATGGTTGACCTCTTGGGAATACCAAATGCTGCAAGTTTGGATGTGCGGGTGGTGTACTGAACCACGACTCCAAGTGTGAAGTGGGAGAGCCGAGTTCCAATCCCAGTTGGGTTCGTTATATTCACTTACGTACTAATGCACTTAGGAAATATAGGATCTGTATCAGAAAATCATTATCTCCCCACCCCCAAAATTCTTACAATTTATAAATATTTCCTGGCTTTAAATAAGCTGCAAAAGGCTGATAAGCTATATAAAACAAATCAATCAAAATAATAATAATTTGATTTCGATGAAAATATCATCAGAAATGTTAGACATTACATTAAAAAAAGAATGCCAAAATATTGATCTATTGATTGGTTAAACAATAACCAGTATAATTCAAATTGGTACTATTATTTTTCAAAAATGTCTTTTAATTACTTGATAACATATTAAATATTATTACCTCTCGCTCGTAAGAGCTGTTACATCTAATGTATGAAATGTTTATGCTAATGTATAAAATATTATGGGATTGAAGTAATAGTATTTTTACTTACAACTTCCGTCCCATAATAATTGTTACGTTTACAATAGAAGAAATCGTCCGATATTCTTTTAGTATTTAAAGAAACAGTCTATAACCAAGTCACTTCAGTCCAAGGCCACATTAGGTTGACTGACAGTCTCGTACTGGACATTTGCATCCCGGACAATTGCGCTGCGTCCTTGGACATTTGCGTCCCTAGACAAAAGCGTCCCTGGATAATTGCGTACTTCTGATAATTTTTTGAAGTTATCATACTTTCTTTTTTTTTTAAAGTTGCTAATTGCAAACCAACTTTTGATTATTCTAAAGAAGCAAAAAAGGTAGTTAACATAAATTTTGAAAGAAAAAAAATTTAAAGTGTTGTTTAATATAGAAATTTTCACACCAATGGATTTAATTACTCTAAACAAGCAGAAAGGTAGTTACCATAAATTAAAAAAAAAGAGAGAAAAATTTTCTCTTTTTAAGGCAAGAGAAAATTAAGCTAGCAGTTTCAGTTCCTTTCAGTAGTGTATACCTTAAAAATCTAATAGATTCTGGATTTTATAGATTATATTTTCTATTTGGAACCCATGGCTAAGTTCTGAAAATCAAACGCTGGTGAAAAAATATTTGTGGACGAGAAAAATTACAGCTACCACTATTATAAGAAAAACGCCATTGAAACAAAAACATAATGGCGATGTGTAGAGCGATCTTGCAACACTGTTAATCTGTCATTGCATTTTAAACAAAAATAAAAATTTTATTCCTTTTATTCCATTTTTTTTTTTTTTATTTATGATTACTACTTATGCTTTTTGAATATTTATGATAATTGTATTTAAAAGCTTCAAAAAATTATCAGATGTACGTAATTATGCAGGAACGCAAATGTCTGGGACACAAATGTCCAGTACGCAAGTATCTAAGAACCGGCCACGTTAACCGACAAGGCCTTAATCTATTGTTTTCAACCTCTTCGCTTCCTCAAAGACTCCACCAAATCTAATTAAATGACAATATCCTGTTTTAAGGGATCTCTCACTGTTTTCACATAAAAGCAAAAGAATCTGTGTTGTTATTTTATTTAGTGTCCGATCCACGAAATTGAAAATGATCATGTCACCAATTCCGGACTCTTGAAACAGCACAGCACAGTGTAAACACACGATTTACATCGGTCGGACCGTGGTCCTCATCTTTGTTGCAATATTCACGACGTTTCGGCCGTTGTGCGCTCCGGTTTTCTTCAGGTGATTGGAATTTCGAACCGAACGCTTTATTTCGTCTTCCGGAGTAGATTGTTCTAGTTCCACATTCTCAAGGACGCATGACCCAATGGATAAAAGCGTCGGTTGAAGTAGTCCAATGACTTGACCCAAAGTGTTGTGAGTTCAATACCTGGCTACAGCAGAGGTGAACAAGTACTTTGAGAGTTGAGTTAAAAGGAAATAATTGATACTGACATATCCGGAAGAGGCATGGCACGTGGAACTAGAACAATCTACACCAGTGAACGAAACAAAGGGTCCGTTTAGAAATTTCAATTGCCTGAACAAGACCGGAGCGTACAGCGGCCAAAACATCGTGAATATAGCCACAAAGATGAGGACAACAATCCGAACAATATAAATAAATAACTGGAATACTCCACCTCAATATAACAACATAAATTGTATAAATAATTACAATACCTCATCTCAGAAATATAGACAGATACAATGTAACATGTATCTTTGTTTTGGGGTTTATTAAAACCCCAACGCCACATTTACCTCATTTTCACTCGCAACACGATTTACGCACAGCGCGCATGCTCACTGAAGTAAAAATTGAAAGGATTTCCCACCATTACATGATATAAAAATGTTTTCATTAAAAAACACCATTGTCTTTCATTGCCTTTCCATAATCATTATGTCAGTGTTGTCTTCGTTTTTAATGTTTATTATTTTATCATATTTTACTATTTTGTGATCTAGACATTGTTTTGTCATTGTTACTGTGCACTTGTTGTAAATTCGTAGTTAGAAAGCATATGTAGCGCCAGAAACATTATAACTAAAGTCACGCCTTAATGGTATTATCCACTAATCTACTCAGATGGATAGACTGACGCAGGGATTTGAATCGGGGAGCCGTGTTTGAATTCCGGTCATGTCTATTGCTTTCACTCTCACATCAATTCCCTTGGGAAAGACACGAATCCACCACTTTCCTTTACCCTGAGCTATGGATTAAACAGCAAGTTAGACTTGCAGCTAAGTGTAATATGACATAAAATGACTTGGTTGTTGCGATAAAAAAAAATGAAACATGAATAAGATGAAAGAAAAAACAATACAAAATGTAATGAAAATCTCGACTTATTTATAAAATAACTTAAATAAATTAGATGCGCGGGTGGTGTAATGAGTATTGACTCAGATAGACAAATCGGAGATCCGGGATCGAATTCTCGCCATGTCACGCAGAGAACCGACCTCAGTCCCTTCGTAGTCCATTGGTGAGATGTAAGTTTCACTCGAGCAGCTTCTTCCCACAAACCGCTGTTTTGTGCAACCATCTTCCCCAATCACTATAATATTAACGTTTTCAAATCTAGGGCCAACCATTCCCATAGACTGTTCTTCTTACTTTGTAATCCTCTACCTCGAGTGGATCTTGGATCTTGTACAGGGTGAACATCATTGTAAAAAAAAAATGACCACTTAAATCAAACAAAAATCACGGTACAAGAAGAATTGACCCGAGTTATCTCCCTTAGAAAATGGACATCAAAATGAGTACTTCTCCCTTGAATCGAAACTTCAAGCCAAAAGTTACAAGCCAGTGTATATTAATGGATAATAACGATAATTCCTCATCTCAAATATTCAAAGAGAAATTTCTGAATTTTTTAAATGAAATAATGTCATCATTAATTGTTTATTTTCCATCTAATTATTGTAATATTTATTTATCTTCAAGCTCAGGTCATAAGTTGCATGTATCGAAAGTAACCTCAAAAGAGAATTGTATTCATATCTGTTGTCATTATGATGCCATCTAACATGGACAACGTCGTATCGATTTGGTCAGGGAAACGCATGAGAAGACAAAATTTAAATTTTGTCAAACAGCTACATTTTTATTTGCTATTTCTTCTGCACGCTATATTGTTTGTTTACATTTAGTAATATTATATGTAGTAGTTATAGAAATGTTCTAGAAGAGGTGTTTTCATAGTTTACCGTTCATTTTATTATTGTTGTTCTTTTCAATCACCCTCCTCAGGTTGTTTTTTTTTATTCTACGACCATTGTCTAGGCAGCATGAGAAAATTGTTCTGGATCCATATTGTTTACGTACGTGCCTAATACAAGTGGGTTTTAATAGTCGGCGTGATTAGAATTTTTCTCAATATGCAATAAATGGAAGTCTTAAAAAAAAGGACCGAAAAAATAATTTAAAAGGTTATAAAGTGCGAAATTAATAAACGAGGGAGGGCCTTCATAATATCGGGAAGGGACAGAAATTTTTCTTAAAAAGTAAACAAATAAATGTACAACTCCTTCTACTAGGCAGTTAAGAGTTGTTTGATGTAAATGATATAGTTATGATTTTTAAAAATGAAACGAAAATAACATTAGAAAAATATGAAATAAAAAGAAATTATATATAAAATGGGTGAAATACATTAAATGTTCTGGTGGTGTAATGGGTAGCGGCTTGAATTAACAAGTTGGAAGTATGTGTTCGAATTCCAGTCGAGTTTACTTTCATTTATACGCAAATACTTTGGGAAAGGTACCCATCTCTTCCTTGCTATGGGTTATATAGTAGTAAAGCCTGTATCATTAGTTGATATCCAGTCTAAGAGAAAGACAATTCTGAATTCGAAACTGTATGTAGCCATGGCGAAGCGCATACTATGCATCTAAGAAAAAGAGTGAAGAGGACCCGGTGGTCGGCCTTTCTTACATTTTAATTCCTTTAGGATGTTAGGATATATTAAACATCTTCTTGTTCTTGTTCTCTACGCCGTGACCTTTCAAGGTGTAGGCGATTATTGCTCTCCATGATTTCCTGTTCTTTGTAGCTCTTAATAAATTTTGTCTTTGTTGTCCTAAATCTTGTTCTCCCATAGATTTCCTCAAGTTATGTATTGATTTCTTCTATGCCTCTTTGCCTCCAACCGCTCCTGTGAGTATCAAATTTTCCAATTCCTCTTTCCTTATTATTTGCCCTAGAAATGTCAACTCTTTCTTTCTGATGTTAAACATAAGTGTCCTTTTTATTGTCACTGTCTCTAGAACTTCGTCGTTGCTCGTTAGGTCCATAGTATTATCAGCATCCTTCTGTAAAAACACATTTCTATTGCTTCATTCTCTTCTTGGGTTGTGAGGAGATTGTCCAGTATTCCCTTCCATATAGGAGGACTGATATTACGTAACGGTTCAGTACTCTTTTCTTTATTTATAATGAAATTTGCTTTCGGATTACGGTGCTGCACTTTCCGTCTTCTGTTAAAATGTT